TTTTTTTTTTTTTTTTTTTTAATTACTGGAGATTGAACCCAGGGTAATCATACTGAGTTACATACCCAGACCTTTTATTATTTAAATTTTATTTTGAGGCAGGATCTTACTACATTGCTAAGTTGCCCAAGATGAACTTGAACCTGGGGTCCTCCTGCCTCAGTCTCTCTAAGTGCTGGGATGATAGGCATGTTTGGCTTTGACAGTAATTTTATGTGTCAACCTGACTAGGCCATATTACTCTGATATTTGGAGAATCATATCTAAATGCTGCGGTAAGAATTTTTAAAAGTAAGATTAACATTTAAATCAGTAGATGGAATAAAGCAGAGTAACCTCTACAAGGTGAATGAGCCTTATCCATTCAATTGAAGGCTGAAAAAAAAATACTGTCCCCCTAAAAGAAAGCAAATCTTGTCAGGGAATCTTTCTTCTGACTCCTATTCTCTGGGTCTCCATGCGGCTGACAGCCTGCAGATTCTGGACTTGTAAATATGTGCGATTACTTCAGCCAACCCCTTACAGTAAGCATCTGTGCAGGCATGCAGCACACACATGCAGGCACACTCATACTTATTCACTGGTTCTGCTTCTTTGCAGAGCTCTGCTATGCCAGTTTTCTAATGACCCTGAAAAAAATCTAAGTCCAGCACATGATCCTATGATGAGCTGCCTTTAGAAACTGGATCTAGAGATTAATTCTATTCTTGTTTTGTAGTTTTTCAAAAATAGTTCTTTCATTTATCTTGCATTCCTCATCTACCTTTCCACCCTAAATCCTCTTCAGCCCTGAGGAATGCTTCCTAACTTCCCCACAAGAACACATCTCGTGTTCTTTCTTAAAATAAATTCACCCTTCTCAAATAATTGTGGTAACTAATCTTTCTAATTTGATATTCAACTTCAGAAATCTCTGGACATTTTTTTTTCTTTTTGCATTGCTACATCTAAAGTCTTAGCATGTTCCCCAACAATAACTGCTTTTTTAAAGTTTCTAGGAATCTCAATGACACTCAGGCAACACCAAATAAGAAAGAGATAAAAGACTTATTAAATATTAAATATGGCCCAATTATTTTCTAATAAAACTAAGAAAAAAATCACTACATGATTATGTTTAATTCCATCTATGACATCTGTATTTGTCTTTAATAATTTCATCAACAAAACTCAGGTAGTAAGTACTACCTACTGGTTACTGTAACTGCTGTGTCACTTCATAGGACTCCTTGAGACTATGATTCTTGAATTATCAAAGCCTCTTTCTGCTCAACAGGTCAAACTGATCTGTATTTTGGAGATGGATGTATGAACTTTATTTATTTAATACCCCAAATTAAAGATCTATCAGAAGAACCTTAAAATACAAAGTTTCACTTATTATAGCTGATTGTAGGCAATAGCTTTGTTGTCAGACCAAACTGATACAAACACTAGCTTTGCAATTTACTCATTAGTTAACTTTCCAAAAGCAGTGTCACCTATCATCTGTCCTCATGTATAAATTGAAGGTAAAAATAGTATCTACCTTATAGAGGAGTAAAAATTAGATGAAATAACTTACATAATGTAGTCCACATGTCTTTAGTAAATATTCAGATGTTGTTTATGTGTATCATTTTAGATACAATACTCAAAAACATGCTATATGATTGAACAAACGTGTGGATATTCTACATTCTCTATCTCACTTTGCTCCCTCTTACAAAATAATACATCAAAAGACAAAAGAAACAGGCAGAGGTTATAGATGTTATATGGTGCCTATAGCGAGAAAGCCAAGCCTTTCTTTTAGGCAAGTGGCATTCTTTGTAGTTGTAGGTAGTGCCATTATAAAAAAACAAAACAAAACAAAACAAAACAAAACAAAAAACCCTATTTTAAAGTTGTTCTAGCTGGGTGTGGTGGCGCATGCCTGTAATCCCAGCACTGGGGAGGCTGAGGCAGGAGGATCGCTGTGAGTTTGAGAACAGCCTGGGCTACATAGTGAGTTCCAGTTTAGTCTCAACTACATAGTGAGACCCTGTCTCAAAAAAACCAAAAAATAAAAATAAAAAATAAATAAAGTTGTTCTAACCCTCAGTATGGTACAGTACCTGCAAATGGAAATAGGGACTTCCCACATATAATCAGATAAAATGGACTTAACCTGAGTCAGAGTGGGCTGTAATCCAATATGACTGGTGCCCTTAGAAGAGACACAGATACAGACATACAGGGAAGGAAAGCATGTGAAGACACAAGAAGAGGCTGGGTTATGTTGCCATAAACCAAGAAATTCATACTCACATTTGATGAAGAACTTGTGCCATGGCAACTCCATTAGTCAGCTGTTTGACATCTTGACAAGGTGAGGCAGTCTTGAATGTCTGCAGCTAAAATGACAAAGCAAATGACTTCATATGCTTTATTATTCCCATAGGGTAGCATTCCAGAATAAACAAACAAACAAAACCAGCTAAAATTGTCTTGTTCTGTTTAAATACAGACCTATCAAACAAATGAAAACTACGCCATTAAGTTTCTGTGCAGTATGCTCATAAAAATAAACACAGTGCATAAAACCATGTCCAACATAGTAAAATACATTAATGCCACGTATGAATTCTGAATAATACAAAGCCAGTTATACAACTGTAGTCTTCTGTCTTTTAGGAGAACACTGGAAAAAGAGCTCTGAGGTAATATTTGTAAGTTCACATTTCACTCATTTGATTAAAAAATAAAGGTTAGGGCCAGGGATTTGGCTCAGTGGTTCCACAGCCTGCCTAGCAAGCACAAGGGCCCCAGTTCGATCCCTGGTAACCCTCCCAAAAAAATAAAAATAAAAAAAGAAAGATTAGAAATATCACATCTAAAAACTACTTATAACTTATTCATAAGCTCTTAAGTAAAATAGGACTTCTGACTACTATTCAACAATTATCCTTATGTATGAAGACTCAAGAGCCCATCATGTGAAGTTATTTATATCTCTTAGATTTAAATTATTGACTTTTTAAATCTTTTTTTTTGCTAAACATTAATATGTACATGAAAAAGAGAAGAGGAATGGTAGTGATCTTTTTCAAAAAAGCAACTATAAGACAGAACTTTTATAAAGCAAATTATAACACAAGTAAAATGGATCATATTTTTTTAGAAATCTAATCCCAAACCACAGGTATTTTAAATACGCAATTCTCTCTTCAAACAAACCTTTATCTTCAATATTGACTTAGAATTTCTGTTCTTACCACATAAGTACCATAACCCATCACAATTTACCATTGATATTCCATGTGCTTTTGGAGTACAAATCTGTCTCTGGAGAGAAGAATGACACAGGCAGATTAAAGTTAACCATAGTCACTTCTAAAGTACACCTTCCATATGTAAGTTATGTTCATCAGCCTTAAATTTTCTAAGTAGCAGTCTACTTCTAAGCGGTAATCATGGGAAGAACTCAAAATCATAAAATATAACACTTTAAAAATTACCATAAGAGGCATTTCTTCATCTAACCAACTTTTCTTGATGAGGTCTGTAATTCTATTTATCTTAGCTTCGCTCTCCTCCTAATGCTGGAATTACTTACTTCCAACTATATTTTCACTTTCATGACTTGGCCCCTGCTTTTTTAAAAACTTATTTCCCTCTACTTCGTTATTTCTCAGCATATAACATTTCTAAGCATGCTCAGGTGCATAGTAGAGGGCCAGGGATATCTGACAAATGTGTTTCTTCTCCACCTCCCTTTACTCCATAGTTGAAAGAAGCTCTACATTTCTGCCAGGAGCTCTTGCTTGTGTTTGGAAAACTCGTTTCCTCTTATTTCTACTCACTAAAATCCATCAATCCACTATGATACAGTTAAAATTTAATGTATAGCTATATCATATTTAATGGTGAAATACTGTTTCTGAGGTCAGGACCAAGCCAACTGTATTTACTACCACCACTTTGATTCAATGTTATATAAAAGATCCTAGTCAGTATTGTTCCTCCTAATGATATTGTGTTTCCTTGAAAATAAGACCTAGCTGGAAAATAACCAACATTGAAAGCTAGAGATCTAAACTGCCAGCCCCAACCAGCCTGTCCTTGCCCCACCTGCCTTACAGAATAGCCACAGAGAAAGAGAATAATGATGGCTGGGGTGGGAGGGTAGTGGGTAGGCTACTTAGGGCTGGCATCTTTTGACCTCTAGTTTTCAAGGCTGATTATTTTCCAGCTAGGTCTTATTTCATGGAAAGAGGGTAGGTAGAGCAGAAAACAGGTCAGACAAGGGCTAACTGGATGATTTCAGGAGTTAAGTGCTATAATGATATAATGACAGCAGGAGGTTAAATTATAAACAGATGGGATGGGCAACAGATAAGCCACTACTATTTTATCTTTTGTTCTCCTTCTTTTGTATTTTTTATTAATACAACTGCAGTACATAATGAATATGTTCATCATGGGCAGTTGATGCACATACACGACACATGTTCATTCTTTTTACACCCACTCCCCCTCTCCTCTTTCCATCCCTTTTCCCCCATCTCTTCCTGTTCCTATTATCTGTCTTTTATTTTGCTCTTTAATTTACTTATACTTTGGGTATCTTATGTAAGAAACCAAGCAATATTTAAGCTGTATGTCTGATTTATTTAACTTAACATTATGGTCTCAAGATGAATCCATTTTCCCACAAATTATTCAAGTTTATTCTTCACAGTAGAGTAGTACTCCATTGTGTATAAACACAACACTTACTTTATCCATCTGTCAAGAATAAGCAAATGGAATCATATCAAATTTAAAAGCTTTTGCACAAAAAGGGAGACATATACGACATACAGGCTGTTTCCAAGATTTAGCTATTATATAAATTGTGCCACTATAAATAACAGGTATGCATGTATCACTGTAAAATGATGTCTTTACCTCTTTGGGAAAGATACCTAGGAGGGAAGAGCCTAGTCAATTGGAACTTCTAGTTTTAGTTTTGTGAGGTGACCTCATACTGATTTCCATAACAGCTGTACTAGTTTACATTCCCACCAACACTGCAGAAGGGTTCTTTTCTCCCCACAGCCTAAGCAGCAGCAGCAGTTGTTGATGTTATTATTATTATTATTTGATGATAGCCATTCTTTCTGGAGTATGATGGAATCTTGGTGCTTTAATTTGCATTTCTCCAATGGGCAAAAGATGCTGAACATTTTTTCATGTATTTATTGGTCATTTGTAATATTGATATTTTGGGGGGCTCTAATGTTTTTCACTTTATATATTCTTGATACTAGTCCTTTCTTTGAGGAACAGCTGGCAAAACCTTTCCCCCATGTTGCAGATTGTCTCTTTTTTTGTGCAGAAGCTTTTAAATTTGATATTATTCCAGTTGCTTATTCTTGTTGTCATTTCTTGTCCAATTGGGGTTTGGTTTAGAAAGTCCTTGCCTACACCTATGTCTTAAAGACTTTAACCTACTTATCTTCCAGCAGGTCAGGTTAAGTACTTCTGTTTTAATATGTAGATTTCTGATTTGTGTTGATTTTACTTTAGTAAATAGTGACAATTGTGGGTCTAGATTCAATTTTCTTCATGAGGCTAACCAATTTTCCCACCTCTACTTGCTTTTTAAAGAGGGTATCTTTCTTCCTAGATATATTTTCAGCCCCTTTGTCAAAGATCAGACACTTGAATGTGCCTGGGGTTGTTTCTGTGTCTCCTATTCTGTTTCACTGATCCACACTGTTATGTGCTAGAATTTTTTGTTTCTGTGATACTAAGGATATGCTCCACCACTGAGTTATATCCCCTCCCCTATTTATTTTTTGAGATAGAGTCTTGCTAAGTTGTTCATTTTGGCCTTGAACTTTCGATCCTCCTGCCTCAGCCTACCACATAGCTGGGGTTACAGAAAAGTACCACTAAGCCTACTTGAGAAGGGCTGTCACAGAGAATCACTAAAAGGCAACAACAGACCAAAGGTCTGCACAGTGAGAATAACCAGGCACGGAAAACCTAGAATACTCTAGGTAGAAGGAAGAGAAGGGTTTTTTTTGTTTGTTTTCCAAAGTGTATATTAAAAAAGCTAAGCTTCTTAAAAACACAGGAAGTCGATGCAGAATGGTGGGCAGGGAGGTGCGTAGCATGAGGTGAATGTAGAGAAGTTAAAGAAGTGAGGAAGATCATCAACAATGCAGGGCCTGGCAAAAGCAAAAAGAAAAAAAAAAAGTGAAACTCACCAGAAATCACGTAAAGAAGAAAAGCCAAGAGACAAGTACCCTAGAAACTAATACAGAAGACAATTTCACAAAGGAAACAGCAAGTAACAGATGGATAAAATTACAATTAATGCATTTGGCAAATATGAAGCAAAAACCTGAGAGAAAGGAAACTTCACCTAGTATGTTGCGTGAATGAGTAGAGGAAGTAGAAAAGGGGACTGAGGGAGACAGGACATACAGTATAGTTTCAATATGGAGTGAATGAAGTGGGAGCTCTTAGTTTTTTTGTTTGTTTTTGTTTGGTATGGGGGATCGAAATCTGGCCCCTGCACTCGCAAGCCAGGCGGTGGAACCACTGAACCAAATCCCCGACCCTTAATTCTTTTGAAAAAGAAGATTTTAGCACATTTTTGCAGACAGAGAAAGGAGCCAAGGAAGAGAAAAACGGGAAAATACAGAAGAGGAAAAGTAATACAGCAATGTTCTAGAAGAGCTGGAAGGGATAGTTTTAAGCTATAGCCAAAGACAAAGAGGTGGTCGCTGGGCTAAAAGGAAGACAAACAGTAATGAAACACGTTTGCTAAAAGGAAGAAAGAACTGTCTGGTCACTCTTAAACATAAAGGTGGGCAAGGATATGGGAAAAATCACATCTGCCAGCAGCAGCAGTAACTAAGGTAACAGTCTGCTCATTGAACTTTCTTCATGGTATTTTGCAGCCTGAGAGAGAACTGCAGAAGCAAATAATTAACTGTACTCTTGTCTTCTTGATTCCTTATTGGTTTATAACAAGCGTTCAGGTTTTAAGGATGTTTGCTTTCCACTGGACTTACACACAACTCTGTCTACCACTCCAATTAAAACTGATCTATGTCTTCCTCAGCACTTTACATAAGATAGGAAGTCAACAGATACTGGTTAAAGAATGGGTTCAGTCACATAATATTTTAAAATATCACAATACAGATCAAGAAAATGCTGTACTTCGTCAGTCGCACTTAAGTCAACCGCATAAAGACAGGTTTGTTTCAGTCAGATGTTAGAGCACAACATAACAAATTAGGTTAGATCCTTCAATTAACCACCTGTCTCAACAAAACAGATCGCTAAAAATTACATTGCCTTGTTCCACGACGATGATCTTAAACACAGCATCTAAACCCCAATACCTATTTAA